GAGACAGGGTTTCTCTGTATAGTCCTGCCTGTCCTGGAACTCACTCTGTAGACCAGGCTGGCCTCGAACTCAGAAATCCGCCTGCCTCTGCCTCCTAAGTGCTGGGATTAAAGGCATGCGCCACCACCGCCCGGCTTTTTTTGTTTTCAAGACAGGGTTTCTCTGTGCAGCTCTGGTTGTCCCGGAACTCTGTAGAACAGGCTGGCTTTGAACTCAACCACCTTAGATAAATTCTAAAGCCACATTATGTGCCAAAATATCACAAGAATGGTCTTTAGTCCAGCTGTGAATGTCGTTCCCTTCTGAAGATGCTTGAGCTGGGCAGTAGCTCCCAGCACTGCTACTGTCTTCCAAAGCTTTGACTAGGATGGCGCACTAAGCTCTGCTTACAGTGTTCAACTGCTTTCCTAGTCTGACATCCCAAAGTTTTCCACATATCTCCAAAACACAGCACGGTGAGGGAGTTCACGGCAGTAGCCCACTCCCTCCTACCAGCTTCAGTATTAGTAACTGAACTGGGACAAAGCACCGTGACCAAAGCAACTTTCAAAAGAAACCATTTAATTGGGCTCGAGGTTCCAAAGGGCTAGAACTTAGCAGCAGGACAGCTGAGATCTCACCTCGTGATCCTTAAGTAGGCCCTCACTGACACACCTCCCCCAATAAGGCCATATCTCCTAATTCACTCCAAATGGTTCCACCAATTATTCAGCCAAGAGCCTATGGGGGGCATTCTTAGTCAACCTGCCCAAGTCTGGCCTGAGATGTTGTAAGGAATCTCAGGAGTGTGCAGGCCTTTTCTCTTTTCATGTCATAGGTGGTTGGCTCAAGCTTAATGACGCTTCATGATAAAGTACTGTGAGCTTTCCTGTTTCCTCGGGGCTCTTGCTGAGAAGCTCTGCTCTTTTCCTGCTTCCTGCTGGATGGGCCAGCTTGGTACCTGTCTACCTGCTCGCTGCAATACTGGCCTTGAGACATTTTCTGTTACACACATGAGACTTTTTTTGTGTATGTGACAAATTTTGTCCTGTTTGTTAGTTTAATTATGCAGGTATAAAAATTAAACTTCATTGAATCCTATTTATTTAGTGAGTTGTTTCCATGTGGTAAAACCCAGCATTCCTGAGGTCTTTTTTAGAATTTGTTTGTTGTGAAGTGACTTTCTGAGGACTGAGATCATGTACAAAGAGAATTCATCCTTCCGGTTAACAGACCTGAGTGAAGAGTTCAGAGGCCTCAGTTGGAAGTGAGGGGTGGGAGTTGTACCTACCAGGCTAGATGGAAGATAATTCTTCAGGCTCTGCATTGGTGCTGAACTACGTTTAGGGTCTGTAAGTTTCTGGAGCCTCTGAATCACTCCTGATGCTTTGCCCTTGTGGCTTGGGTGCAGCTGTGGCTCAGTTCCACCTTTAAAATGCAGCTGAGACTCTGTTGGCTGTGGTCTTTAGAGGCCCATGAGAGGGAATGCAGAGTGGTTTCCAGTCCTCGTCCCAGATGCTAAGATCTGATGTCCTTCCCTGAGCAGGGGCCCTACCCACCCACCTTCCTGTTGTCTGGGAAGTGATCAGCCATTTGGACAAGGCAGGGTTGTTCTGAGCTGAGGCTTGCCTGGTACAAGAAGCTGGGATTGTAGTGAGAAGAAAATTTCCCCAAGTACTCAACTTAGCTGGGTTGAGCACCAGTCCCCTCCCATCCTGGGCCTAGTTCATTGTATGGAGAGTCAGGAATGGGATCTGCTAACTTAGAGAAGGAGCTTTGGCTAATCCCCAGTTCTCCTACTTAGTCCCTAGTGATTTGGTTTGGTTCTTCCAGGAAGGGTATGCTGAAGGAGGGGGTCATGGACTTGGTCACCCAGACAACCATCCTGCCCCTGCTGTTTGGCTGCCTGGGGATTTTCAGCCTCTTCCGGCTGCTACAGCGGATCCGCTCCAAAGCTTATCTGAGGAATGCTGTAGTGGTGGTGACTGGTGCCACCTCCGGACTCGGCAGAGGTAAGTCATGGGGTCTGTGATGCCGGGAGTGGAATCAGCAGGCTTCACAGGCATCACTGGCCATGCAGAAGGACTGTCCGTGGTCCAGTTGGAAAAGGGCATGTGAACAATGAGAAAGTCTGTGTGGGGGATAAAAGCAAGTGAAGAGACCACCCTTGGAAAAGCACTGGCTTTCCTCAGCTCAGCTGCCTGTTGAAAGAGGGATTTTCAGATACGGAGAAGTAGGTGAAAAGGTGTTTTGACTCTCTCCTGGGTTCGGTTGATATACTGGCCTTTATTTTGGGGGCTTGACACTGGCTTTCTTTCTTTTCCTCTTCCCCATTAGGAGGGTCAGAGGTCAGATCCATGAAGACCCTGCCTCCCTCACCCAGCCTTCCAGCTCAGTGCCGCTGCCCTTCAGTGATACCTC